CAAAACATGTTTTGCATGCATGCCTGAAGGTACAGATCCTGCAAAACCCACTGCTATAAAGAAATGTATGCCCAGGAATGTATTGCATGCCCACCCAGTGCTGTAACAGCAACTGCTGTGATTAGATGTATGCCACTGAATGTATTGCATGCCCGCCCGATTATATTTATGTATCTAACAAAGCTGGGCTTCTCTCTGGGTAAGCTTCAACTGTAACACAAGCATAGCTAAGGAATGCAGCCTTAGCAAGACACCTCTCCCATGCTGTCCCCATGTTTGAGGAACTTACAGTTATCCTGTATCAGCCGTGCAATACCCTGCCTCTGCTTATGGGGGTGGGAGTCCAGGGGCAACTGAGACAGTTTCTGGCTGGCCCATGTGATACCCCATCATGGGTTTTTTTTGTTTGTTTTTTGGGGGTTAAGCCTCCGAGGAACCACTAGTGCCCGCAATCCCCACCTTTGCCACATCATTTTGGTATGGGATCCTCATTTAACTCACCCCATCCACAGTGTCTGCCTCATCTCCTGCAATCACTTGAGTGGAATATCCTAGATCTGGGCGAACCATTACACCTTGTATGGCCTGCAAAGCTGTGGAAACAACCTGACACAATAACCCTGATTACTTGTATCAAATCCCAGCTGACTGTCCCACCATCAAAGGCAGCCAGCTCACTTTCCTGGGTGAGTGCCTCACTTTGAGACCCTTGCCCAAGCCTGATAGGCTGCCCTTGGTAATGAAAAGCACTATCCCAGGCTCCTCCAACCCCTCGCTCTTGTTGCAAGGATCCTGCCCTTGGCTCACCCGGCCCAAATAACTGCACTCCGTCCGCCCTGTGCAGGGTTTGATTCCTCCCCAGTTCCCTGTCCCATGACACTAACTGGGAGGGAGAAGCAAAATTCCATCCCCCTGCTGTCTCCTGCCCACAGCAGGTAATACAAAAACCCTGTTCCCTAAACCTCTGTGCACCGGACAGCTGCTATGAGGGGGGAGGGGGGCGCACTCCCACTCCCTCTACTCATCTGTATACCGAGGGACAGAATCTGGCTCCGAGCTGCTTTGCTACTCAACTGCACCTCCCTTTGTGAATTCACTCTGCTATGCCTGCCTCACCCCGCCTGAACCAGGGGGGATGGAGAATTAATCTTCCCCCTGTTCCTTCCCGCTCTTATTGTTCCGTGTCTGCCAGGAGCCATGCTGGGACAAGGGCCTGCTTCTCTATTCCGGGACTGAAGTGGGATCTCCCTCCTCCCTGCTCTGCTTCCACGTGGGTGGAGCCGAGCTAACTGTAGTCCGGAGCACTCCTACTGAGACTTGCTGATAGTTCCTGCCTTTATGCTGGAAGCGAAGTGGGGGGAAGGGTTTGGCCTGCTCACCGCCCTGCTTCGCTTCCATGTGGAGCCGAGTAGATCTGAACACTGGAACCCTCCTGCCTTAGCCTTGGTCTGTGTAAAAAGGCAGGCTCCCGGCACCGTGCTGCTCCTTTTCGAACCCTGCATTCCCAGGGGATGTCAGCGACCACGCTGCTCCTTTTGCAGCAGTTTTCATCTCCCTTCCAGCCAGCCATAAAGCACTGTTCTCTTCACTCGCCAGACTAGCCAAAAAAACCCTGCTTAAAGGTGCAGGGCAGTCATTACATGGAGCAATTTCAAATAAAATGGTTGGCATAGTGTATGATCTCGCAGTTCTTGCATCCCAGAACTCCTGTTATTTCAAAATGAAGATAGATAGATAGATAGATAGATAGATAGAATGCAAGAACAGGCCCACATGTTATAGAATTGCCACATCCAATCTGGATACATAATTAACCTCACAAATGTATTAGAAACGTGTTGTAAAATCTTTCGTTAATAAGATCAGTGAAAGCATCAGCAACTAACTTCCACGGGAGCCAATTGAAAAATATGAGTCATGTTTAGAGAGAGTTTTTCATTTCACTGCAAAAACCATTTCCAGGTTAAGTATCAGAGGGGTAGCCGTGTTAGTCTGAATCTGTAGAAAGCAACAGAGGGTCCTGTGGCACCTTTGAGACTAACAGAAGTACTGGGAGCATAAGCTTTCGTGGGTAAGAACCTCACTTCTTCAGATGCAAGACAATGCAAGATGCATTTCCAGGTTGTGAATTCATTGACATAAGTTTTTTGATGAAGGAGGAGTCGTAAATTCTATCTCGGATATATGAAAAAGAACATTAAAAGGATTTCATGTGGCGCTTACCAAGCTGCTGAAACTGTAATTTAGTGATTCTGTATTTGTAGGAACCAAGCCTGAGTATCACAGAGACAGAAAGAATGGGGGATATGAATTAACTCTCTAAATATTTATTCTGTCATATTGCCATCAGTCAGGCTGAGAAAGCATTAAAAACCATGTGCATTATTTTTTAAAAACCCTCTGCAGTAACAAGTTGAAGGTTGTGTTAATTACAAAGAAAAAGCAAAGGGTTCTGATATTAGCAATCTTCCTCAAAAATCAGTATCAGAAAAATATTAGTGATAACAATAAGATGCAAATGTGATTGCACAGGAAAATCTGGTTGCTGTTCAGTATTCTCATATTTAAATTTTCTATAGATTTTTATGTTATTCTAGGCTTGATAACTTGCTAACCAAAAATATTTTCCTAAATCTTTACAACTCCAACCACTGTTTGAATTGAAAAAAAAATATAGCTGGGTGTTTTATACCTTCTCTTCCATACCTTACTGGTGCTGAATTAAAAAAGGAAAGGGACTACTGAAAAAAGTGAGAGTTGGTGAGTTTGAGGGATGCATATAATCATTTTTTTCTGTTCTGAGTGCTTGCTATAATACAGTAAATAGAAAGATTGATGATTTAGAATGTTTTAATTTAAAATATATTTTATTTCTCACTAGATTTAATCCCTCATAAATTAACATTAACTTATGTGGTAAGTCTATTATACAATACCCATATGCCTCAGCAGCTACAACCCATGTCATTATTTAGATAGCCAAAAGCAAGTATTTAATGGGCCAGAAAATTATTGCACCTTCCTTTTCCTTTTAGAAGTGATGTATTTCTTCTCCCTCACTCCCAACCAATATTCTTTATCCTTGCTTTGTGTTTCAATTGCAGTGTTAAGGCAATAATAAATACAGGAGAAAAATACATGTTTATTAAATTATCTGCTTTATTTCTTGATTTTTAAATAAATATTACTGTATATCAAAAGTATAGAATTTGGCCTTCTCTACCTATTATTCATTATGGTCAAGGTCCTTGCAATCCTACTGCACAGAAACCATCTGGTACTGTGTGGTCTAGCTAGGCCCTTTGGCCACGATGGCATAAGTGTATCCTGATTGGAAAACTACTAGAAGTTGACAAGATGACCAGAGTAAAGTTCCGTGTATGTGCTATGTCTTCTCAGTTCTATATATGAAGAGGAGTGTTTTCCCAGGTAACTGACAGGCATAGGTGAATTAACCAAAAGGCAAACATGTGGCCCTACTGCAATATTCTTGGCTGACAATTTCCAAAAAAAGCTATTAGCACTGAAGAAATATTCCCATAAGACTCTGATTTCTTACTCACATGTGCTACTAGGCCAAAAAGGGTTCAGTCATCACATTGACAGCACCCATGAATCTCCTCCAATAAAAGTAAGCTTTGTTTTCTAAGATTTCAACTTTGTGGAGTCTGTTTCAGTTCTGCTTGACATCTCTACAGGGGCTGTGCATAGTAAGAGACCGGGGATACAGGATCTATAGAAAGTCAATTAATGACAACCACATTTACCATCCCAACTAGCTCTGCACCCTGCTCCCTGCTGTGTAGTTTCTTTATGTCCTTTTGCATTAAAACATTAGTCTTGTGGATCAGCTGACCCACTGTGGAGATAACTGATGCAATTGTAAGGATCTAATGCATCTCTTTCTACCACACAAACACAGACTTGGCTATATCTTTTCTGAATAGTCTCCTCAAAATAGAAATTAACAATGAAAAAATTAGATCAGAATCCATGAAGACTAAGGCACATTCTACAGGAATACATTAACAAATATTGAACATACATAGAGCAAAAATATTTATTTTTATATACACACACGTACGTAAAATAAAATAAAAACAATTCAAAGTTACATGTCTTGAGGACTGATCAAATAAAAAGTGCTACAGAAAGTGCAACATACAGTACTTTGAATTCAGAAAAGCTTAATGGTTCACAATTACAGTGCATTCAACTGATTTTCGTAAAAATAATTTCTTCATAGATAAATATTTACTGCTAATCTCCCCAAAGTAGCAGGGATTGGGCATTAATTTAAACCCAAGAACAACACTCAATAGGTAACAAGTATTCTGTTTAAGCAGTAAAACATGACAAGAAGTGGATTTTCAAGTGGTAATAGCAAAAGGCCAAAGACCCAGTGATTTAAATCAACCCAAACAATGATCCCTCTTAAATGAATTAATTTTAGTGATCTATTGCTCTTATGAAAGGGAATGTATACATACAAATGAGGAAAAAGAACTAGACATATAAAATTACCGCGAGCATTATAGACCAGAAAACAGATCATGATAGGTCAGTGAAAGTTGAAGGAGTTCATCTTTTCACAGAAGGCTCACCACACTGTAGAATGGGGTCCATGATAAATAACACTGGTAGCCAAAATGAAAACACCACTATATCCAGAACTTTCAAAATTACATACTTCATATTGTGGTTCTACTTCAAAGCTGAAATGTCTTTTTTTCATATTTTCAGAACTTAACTATTCTCAGTACACAAAATGATTTCTCATGCATTAGAGAGATCAGTATAGAAAATACAGTAATGGACATCAAAGAGATTGGAATAATTTCTCCAAAAGGAAAAAAATATTGTATATTACATTTGTTTGATTTGTTTAACCAATAGAAAGTAAAGAACTCTGTTTAAACACCATCACACAAACTTTGACACCAGGGATTTTGTTCAAAAGGCTCAGTATAATGCTTAGTCCTGCCTTGAGTGCAGGGGACTGGACTAGATGACCTCTCAAGGTCCCTTCCAGACTGCTGAACTTGAATTAATATGCAAATTAGATACAATGAACTTAGGTTTAAACAGAGACTGGGAATGGTTGGGTCATTACACTCATTGAATCTATTTCCCCATGTTAAGTTATCCTCACACCTTCTATGGGTCATCTCGATTATCACTTAAAAAAAATGTTTTCTCCTGCTGATGATAGCTCATCTCAATTGATTGGCCTCTTACAGTTGACATGGCTACTCCCACCTTTTCATGTTCTCTGTATATATAAATATCTTCTTTCAGTGTGTTCCATTCTATGCATCAGATGAAGTGGGCTGTAGCCCACGAAAGCGTATGCTGAAATAAATTTATTAGTCTCTAAGGTCCCACAAGTACTCCTGTTCTTTTTGCAGATACAGGCTAACACGGCTGAAACCTTCCAGTTCTACGATTCTCAAACAGAGATAAATGCAATAGTCCCTTTTCCTTTGGCTTTTCTCTCTTGATATGTGGGTTGAAGTCATTGGATCATCAAAGAAAGTTTGTTCCCTGACTGTTTGCAACTGTCCAGTATATAAATGTAGGATTTCAGTATCCACTGTTCATTTTCTTAACCTTCTTAAACAAACAAATATCAAGTACCATGTAACTAAACAGTGGTTTCTAGCAAATAGTCCATTTCATCAAATGTATCCAGGGTGTTTTTGCTATTACTTCTTGACGTATCTTGAATTCTGTTGTAACCTACAAAATAACATAAAATAATCATATTTTAAAAACTTTGTATTTACATTATTTTTGCAATAATTTAATTTTGCATATATTCTTTTTACCTTTTAAAATGGAATATTTTATATGTTAAAAACACATGCATTTATTTAATCTATAAATTGTAGATTAGTACCATAACTTGTATGAAACTGTTTTATTCCTGTCCCTTTGGCTATTATTGAGAATTTTTCCCCACCGAGTAATTATATATATTTCTAACCTTCATGTACTCACATAGCAAAGACTGGGGCCAATTGGCTAGAAGGTTAGCCAATAGTACCGAATCTAGGAATTTCCATACTAAAATTTCAGGCTAATCTGGCATACTGCATTTGCTGTTGGTCTTTACCTGTTGCAAAATGTTCTAACCTCCTATGAAAATGTATTTAAAGTGGCTGCAGAGTACATAGCAGGTTATTTAAAATAGCCTGTTTTTTCCTTTGTAACATACACTTCTCCTGCTAATCAAATCTTTGCAAGACGCCTAGAGCAAGATTGTCAAAGGTATTTTAGGCAATTAAATTAATTTCAACAGGAGTAAGGTACCTAACTTACTTATTAGGGTTTTTTTGTAAATCCTACTAGGTACCTATCTACATTTTTAGGCACCTGAATACCTTTGAATACCTACATATTTATGACCTTAATCCTGCAACTTGTTGTGAACAGGTGGATCCCTGAACCCACGTGGAGCCTGCACAAAACAAATTGCAGGATCGGGGTCTAAATTTCCATTTATAAAGCTGAATTGGGAGCATATTAAGTTTCCTACTTAATAGCTTTTAAGTCAACTTAAATTTGAAAGAAGGCAGGCTTTCCATAAATCTGTGAGGAACAGGGAACCAGGCTTGGTGGAACTTTTTATTTTCCTTTGAAATTCACCTGCCCAAAATATTGATGTCAATACAACTTGTTTACTAAATTCATGTTTATTTATCTGGTATATATTTCTCATCTTAATATTGTTAGAATTTAGATTTTAGCAACATTCAAGTTTAAAGATGTCAAATATATATTTAACCCCTAAAAAGAACAAAAAAAGCTTTAATACATTAGTATATTAATCTAAAGATATTTTTAAGTTAACAGTACCTGTTGGCCCTGGATCTTCATTAATAAATGAAACATGTGTTTTCCATTCAGTCCATTTCACTTCATTAATCCTGTTTATATTGTATATAAATTGTGTTATTAGCATGAATTATCTCCAGTTTCATAGCTACACTTCCTCTTTTGTTTCTTAATTATTTCTTGGAATTGTCATGGTACATCATCAATACACATTTTACCAGTATGGAAAGTATCTATGTATTTTGCAGCATTAGGCATTGTATTTAGCTGAGACTGTTTGCTCATTGAGCTACTTCATATTTTCATTCATTGCAAGCATACATTTGGAACATTTCAGATGTGAATATGTCTAATAAAATATTCTGGTACTATTTTGCAGTATGTTAATCATGTTAAAGAATAATCCATTGTAAATATAATTAGTTTTAAATGAACATTTATAAGAGATTACAACAAATTAACATTCACAGCAAATAGAGATTTAGTAAGCGTGTATTAAAATCAAGTATGTACATGAGGAAATTCCCCTTTTTGCCTACAAAAAGATGAATATTGTATTTTTAAAACTATATATCTCTTACTAGCAACTGTTCACTGTAGAATATCCCAAACTGGATTTTTGCACACAGTTACCAATTTTGATTCTGCTTACAAAAATCCCCACAAAAGAAGCAGAAATATGATTTTATAGATTTAAATGAAAAATATTTTACAGTGGCTGTTATGAACAAACAACCCTGATGGTGCATTCGGAGCAGACTCATCAAACAGTGCTTGAGTGTAGTATTACCTTAAACATACTCTAGTGTCATTTTCAGCCACTTTACACAATTCTCCCAACTGGAATTTTTTCTTCAGATATTTTGGTAACATTTTTTCAAATTCCAAAATGGTCCTGGCTCTCTGGTAATAATAAATAGTTAGTAATAATATTGGAATGTTCTTAACCACATTAAAAATTAATATTTTCTGCTTCATATTACATATTTCACAACGTTTTAAAATTATTTTAATTTTCAAAGTATGTTCCATTATTATATATTGTGCATCCACCAACAAATTTTATAGTGAACACTGACACCAACAGTAGTAAATATCATTTAATACAGAGTACAAATGGTGTTCACGTACCATTGGTAGGTACAAGCAGGAAGTCTAGAATTTCCCCAGTTACCCTCAGCTCAGGGAGCTACACCAAAATGGGAGTCAGGAACCCCTGGTCTGGAACCTGTGCTAGATTTTAAAATCCTCATGCAACTATCTGTCACAGCAGCACCTCCCTATCAGGGAGTGATGTAGGTAGGATCCAGACAGTCTAAATAGGGCACTGAAGAACATGCACACCCCCATCCCTGCAGTATGAATTTTGCAACTCTTAGGTTGGTTCTATCTCCAGGACCAGAAAGAGAGGAAGCAACTTACCACTAGACCCTTTCAACCCTCCCAACAGTGGGACTGGGGGAGAAACAACTCAAGTCCTGTCTTTCTCCCTTTTGGTAACATGGGACTCTGAAAATTATATGGGTGGCTCTGAATTAGAGTTTAAGCTAATGTAGTATACATGAAATCAAAGTAAATCTATATATTTTGTAGGTCCTAAAATAAAGGTGAGAGGAGACATTACCGGTCTACCAATGTGAGGGTCTCTCATTACTCTCTCAGCCTAACATGGCTGGCACATCAAGAGTGAAAATCATGAGTTGAATGAGAGTGTATGGCGTTAAAATCTGAACCATAAAAATATCATTAAACTTTTGTTTATAGATGCTTATGCCAAATTACAAGATCAAATACTTCACACAGTTACACTAGTGTAAATGTTGAGTTCTCTAATGATTTTTGTCCAACTTGTCCATATAGTATCTATCACTGTGGTTTCTAAGGCCTGGTCTACACTGCGTGTGTGTGTGGGGGGGAATCGATCTAAGATACGCAACTTCAGCTACGAGAATAGGGTAGCTGAAGTCGACGTATCTTAGATCGACTTACCTCCCATCCTCACGGCACGGGATCGATGGCCGCGGCTCTCCCGTCGACTCAGCTGCCGCCTCTCGCCCTGGTGGAGTTCCGGAGTCGACTGGGAGCGCGTTCGGAGATCGATCGCTACCCGCTGATCCGGCGGGTAGTGTGGACGTACCCTAAGTGATGTGACTTTAGTGGTGGTACTCCAAGTTTACACTGGTATAGCTCAGAAGTGAATTTGGCTTAGAGCATCTATAAGTAAGAACAAAACTGTGGCTGGTGAGGTTCCTGTCAAATATCTTAAATATCATCATCATGATCTGATATTTTCTGATTTCAGAGTGAAACTTTGTAAAAGTGTCTGGGTCTTGACCAAGCCAAAGAGTATTAAGGTCTATGGCAGGGGTAGTCAATAGGTGGACCAGAGCTTCAGACACTTTTGAATGGATCAGAAAATATTTTTTTATTATTATCATAATTATTATTATTGTATTATTTTCTTTGGAGCCTGGCCCTTAACTATACCTTGACAGAAAAACTTGGACCTTGACAAAAAATAGTTGATTACCCCTGGTCTATGGTTTAATATTGCAAACAAACCTGGAGTCTCCAAATGTGTTCACTCTCTTTAGAAATATTTTCCACTGTTTCTCCCATTAATGCAATCAGCATGTTCAGAAGGAGAACAAAAGTCAACAATACGTAAGTTATGAGAAGAAGAAGAAACAGCACAGGATATTTTGAATTCTGTTGGATCTCCAGATCTCCCAGTCCTATGGTAAGTTTAAAAAGCTCCATCAGAACGGCACCCAAACTGCTGTGTGAATGACATTTACTGTCATTGGGGCACGTCTCAATCAATGCAGCAAGAGCTAAATAAGAAGCAAATGAAAAATCCATTTTAGTTATAATATTTTACATTTATATAACATCTTTTATACCAAAGAATAATAAAGTGCAATATAAACTACAGAGAGACACAAATGCAGCAGCTGTCCGGCAACACGCAGCAACAGAAAATGACAGTTTCACAAAGGAAGTTAAGAATACCATATACAGTTGAAACTCATGGGCAGTTTAGCTAGACAAAATGTAATTATATTTATAGGTATTTAGCCAGAATACTAGATTTAAACACTCTTACAAAAATTGTTATGGATTTTTTAATAACCACAACTAGCACTTGACATCAGCTTGAAAGAAGTAATGTTCTGACCGTCACAATGTTGTTCTTATTCATAATAGTGCTAAAAACTTTTACTCACACAAAATATCAATGCTTTTCTCCAGTAATAGTCAATAAATTATACTTACCTACGCCAAATCCCAGCAAAAACACGATGTATACAACTAAAAATTTTATCACATCCTGTAAGATCACCTAAAAGTTAAAATGTTTATGATTAATACAATTTCAGTAAGTTCTCTTTACAGTTACATGTTTTGCAGTGATGAAGACGTGATACAATCGATACGAGAGTGGTTAAATCTACTTATATTTTTAAAAGTGATCACATTAGCAAGTGGGACATTTTGAAAAGTTAGTTGGCCTGATTCTCCATGATTTGTCCTGTTGTCTTATGCATTAATGTGTGTTAAACACATTAATCAAGGGGTGAATGTAACTCTATGAAAAGTGTAAGCATTACACCAGGGGTGGGCAACCTATGGCACACGTGCCAAAGGTGGCACGCGAGCTGATTTTCAGTGGCACTCACACTGCCTGGGTCCTGGCCACCGGTCTGGGAGGCTCTGCATTTTAATTTAATTTTAAATGAAGCTTCTTAAACATTTTAAAAACCTTATTTACTTTACATACAACAATAGTTTAGTTATATATTATAGACTTATAGAAAGAGACCTTCTAAAAACGTTAAAATGTATTACTGGGACGCGAAACCTTAAATCAGAGTGAATAAATGAAGACTCGGCACACCACTTCTGAAAGGTTGCCGACCCCTGCATTACACTGTCTGATTCAATTAAATATATTAGCTGAAAAATACCATACAATTTAGAGATTTAAAAATAAATGTTGCATAATTTGAACAAATTAGCTAGTTACCACTATTAATTTTTTTAAATTACATAGTACATTCTAATGAAATAAAACATATCTTAAAGAGAAGAAACTGGAAATTTCAGTGTGGATTACTTATAATATAAGCAACATCTAAATTGCAGAATGTACATGAATTAGATAATGCAACTAGAGTAAATAGATAATATAACAAGAGTTAAAAATTATATACATGCCTTTTGGATCATGACACTATAAATTCCCATGGATTGGAAACCCCTGGTAAAGTACAGCATATTTGCCCATCCTAGTGCCATAGCCAAGACAAGACACACCAGGTGTTCTTTGTAGGAAAACAAGTACAAGAAGACAGAGAAGATCACAAGCACTGCTTGTATAAAACTGTTGGAAAAAAAACCCAAATATTGTAAATACTCTTTTACACAGCACAGAAATGTACAAAATATAGTGGAATGCATGCTTGCATCCAACGAAGTGGGCATTCACCCACGAAAGCTTATGCTCCAATACATCTGTTAGTCTTAAAGGTGCCAAAGGACTCTCTGTTGCTTTTTACAGATCCAGACTAACACGGCTACCCCTCTGATACTTGACTTCCTTATTTCAAGTTTCACTTCCAATTTCACTTTCCACCCTGTGTCCAAACTGTGCTTGTTGCAGCTAGGGAAAACTATAAAGGTAGCTCTATATCACTTTTTATTTTCCTCAGTCCTGGGTCCAGGCTAGCCCCCAGCGTAATTTAGAGCAACTTTAGGACTGTTCTAAATTACGCCTTGTGCCATGTCCCCCAAATGATCATTCCAGAGTCAGGGATCACAGAAACGCAGCATCATTTTGACTATACCCTCTTTCCCCAGTCTTATCTCCTATTCCAGGAACAGGAGGGGGCAGTATAGGGCCAGCTATGCTGGCTCTAAGCCACTTTGGGATTCCTGTACACTGGGGGCATCCCTAACAGCTGGTTATGCCATTTTTTTGTTAACAGAGCAACACAGAAGATGGAATGGGTAATCAAAATCTGGCTAACTGGCTTGTTTCTTTATAAACAAAATACAATTCTCTATTTTGCAGTGCTTACAAAGATAAAAATAGTTTGTATGTACCAATCCACAATAGTGTTACTGGTCAGTGAATGCCAGAGATATACCTGGTGTCTTACAGTAAAACTGCATATAAAATTATGTTCTTACCTCTGACAACTGACAGTCTAAAATAACAAGTGAATTACAGTTAAAAGAATTAATTTTCTGTGAACCAAGGAAATGTAACTGACAGCGCATGTTATTTCAGAAACAACAATTTATATGCCAGACTTACAATGCAAAGTGGAACCATGCATCTGACAGAATTGACTGAAGATCTGAGGGTCTTAGTAGAAAGATGGCTACACTCTGTGTAGACAGATATATATAAACAGATTAAAAATAGTAAAAATTAAAAGGTGAATAAAAATTCAAAACCAACTAGTCTACTTAAAATAGCTACAGCATCTAGAATTTCATTCTTTCTATATTGTTTGTGCCTCAAAAATGCTTTTCCAGATTTTTTTTAATGTGTCCTGATTTTCTGCTGTACTTAAAATAGTTTAACAGTTAACTTTACTAGCAGATGTTACTAATAAATAACTTTAAATGTCTTACTGGGAAGTAAGTCAGATGTACTTGTCCTTTCTGATATAGATCCTTATTCAATAATGTACTTAACACAGTACTTTAAATACACGAGCAATCCTATTTACTTCATGACTTTAAAGTACATTGCTTAAGTATGTTGCTGAGTAAGAATTTAGTATGATCACCATATTTCAAATCCCATTTTGTTCCCAGTCTTTCAAAAAGGAAGGCCTCACATCAATTTCATATAATATCTTACAGTTATATTAGTATATATTTGGACCATCAAGAATGATTAACACATTTATGCACGATTAGCAATTAGCCTAGTAATTGTACAATGCGAGACATTATGAAACATATAAGTTATAAAACATATAACTTATAAAATGATCAAAATTGTCACAGTCTTTACAAATCCACAAAAGATCTTTATGCATACAATTATTTTATATTAATTCTGAAAGTGTCTCACCTCTTTTATGGCTAAAAATATTGCCGCTATCATAATAAGCACTTGTACCAGCAACTGCAACCATCCCATGTTACGTGTCAAAGCTAATGGGTAGGGCGGAGCCTGGAAAAGAGGGTTAGAAAAGAATAGTGAGAGTTTAATGCTAGTTATCTGAAGGCACAATAAAGTAAAAGGTCCCAGACAAAGGACCCAGTCCTTATAGCCCTCTATGTGCAGAAATTCCATTGAATTCAATTAAGTGCTCTCCATTGAGGACTTGCAGGATCAACCTCAAAATGAAGTGAGATTATTTAAAATATATACTTATTCTTTCTCAATCATTAAAAATATAACTTTTAAAACCACAGCCAGGTCCACACACTGTTATGCATCTCCTTATTGTTCTGCTCCCTCTTCAAGAGAGAAACTCATGGAGGGAAATTCTGGCCCTACTGAAGTCAATAGTAAAACTCTCATTCACTTAAATGGAGCAATGATTTCATCCTAGAATCTCCAGTTCTATTTTTGATTCACCAAACATGTTAAATCTGAGTTAGGGAATGTTACTGCATTTTGAACACAAAATTCTATGAGATTTTTAGTTGCTGCACATACCTCATCTCTTCGGGGTCTATAGTAGGAAACCAATGTTAATATTATGTTGTAGATGAAATAAAAACAACATGACATAAAGAACATGTGCCTTGCAAACTTTTTCCATTTCATTCGCAGTAGTGAATGCAGGGGCTCCAAAGTCAACATTTCATGACGGTTCTGTAGAAAAAAACAAAGAGAAAGCCAAATTTGTGACTTGTGAGAAAACTGGAGGTAGGACAAATAAAAAAATATCAACTACATATTTTAAACATTTCATTTTATGGTCTCTTCTTGTCAGTCTAGAAATACCACTTTGCTCAGGGACCCGTGCAACAGCTCCTCAGCTGGTGTCAATGGGTATAGTTCTACTGAATCCAGTGGAGCTACACCAGTTCACACCATGAAGATCTGCCCGAGATAATTATCTGCCAAATTTTATCTTGTTCTGTGGAAAATGTGATTGTGTTAAAATCCAAGTGTTAACTTCTGTACCAGTCTCCTAACAAAGTATGTTTATTTTTTAGGAATTGCCACTTCAATAATTTGAATTTTAGCAACATGCCAAATTCTGCTTTTAAATAGTGAAAATTTCTTAATTATGCACTGCTTCAATGCATAAAACACCTATGTGTATAGTAAACTGACAGTTTACTGTTTATTATAGTATCCTTGCCTCCCAATACTATTTTCTTTTAAATAAAGGATATATATATGATATAAATTGGTTATCTTAGAGATAAAATGCGGTGTGTTGAATCATTAGTCTAAGACCATTTTAGATGTCCCAAGAAGAAAACTTAAACTACTGTACAACACACTAATGCCCCAAATGCAGGCCAAACTACTTCCCCAGTCCTTCTTTGGGATCTGGACCCAGGTGCATTCCTAATGGGACATTGCATGAGCACAAGGGTTCATGCTAGTGGCTTCTGCTGAAAGACCGAGACCTAAAAGTTATATTTTTATTTGTTTTTCAAGTTCTCCAGATAATTTATAGCTTAAAAAAATAAGTGAATGTATTGCTGGAAAATATATTGACTTTAATGACGGGCAACTTACACCAATATTTGTGTTATAAACAATAATCTCCAGTAATGAGTTGTCTGCAGTCGTATCTAGTTCTGTCAGGTCATAAAGGGAAGACTGAACAGGACCATAAGCCCAATCTGTGAATTTTCGGGAAAGGCTTCTGTTTGGCTTGTCTTTTATTTCTCTACTGAGAATGTATTTCAGAATCTAAAACATGAATAGAATCACATGTAAGTAAATTAAGTCTTCTAAATGGAAGAAAGAGTGTGTGCACAGTTACCAGAAATGTACTTTTTTACTAAGACATTTGCCAAAATGGCACAATTAAATGTATTTTGTAATTCATTTAACCTTTGGGTAATTGAGGGGAGGCATTACAGATGAAAGTTCCTGGGAAATAAACGGGGCCGCCCAGAGGGGGAGGCAAGTGGGGCAATTTGCCCCAGGCCCCGGGCCCCCACAAGAATATAGTATTCTATAGTATTGCAACTTTTTTTATGGAAGGGGCCCCCAAATTGCTTTGCCCCGGCCCCCTGAATCCTCTGGGTGGCCCTGGAAATAAATACAGTTTTCTTTAATTGCCTTGAATTTTCTATTAGATCTGCAGTTTTTTCTAATGAAAGCATTCCACTGCATACTTTGGTATAACTTTTCTTTAACTGGTGACTTTCTAATTTATCCCTTGTTAATCATTAACCAGGTACTCCAAGCTTTTGCTTTCAGAGATCCAAATTCTACTTTTTGTTATAAGTCAGACTAATTCAATTTATTTCCTTAGAGTTACACCTGTGTAAGAGAGAATATCATGTAATTCAAAAATATTAATGTGTGCTATCAACAGCCCTTGATAGTATTAAAACCAAAAGAATTTTTAAAAATTACTGTTCACCATTTATGCTATGTTATTTGTTTAATTTTTTTATTTCAGCTCAGACCATGCAAACAGACTGTTTAGTTTCAGGTTATCATGTGCTAGTGCAGAACTCCAGTGCCTGAGTTGCAAATACTGCAGAGAAAAGTTTAAATTCAAACAAAACTGATTTTTAGTTTATATATCATTAAAGTATTTCTATTAATGGAAGTGTCATGATATTATAAGGTATGCTACGCCTTCCACTCTTTCACAATCTTTCTAGGAGTGTACCCTTCTTAGTGATAGTCTCTGGGTCTCCACTCCACATTGCTGAAGGGGGAATCCCACAATTCTGCTACTCTAAGATTGGGTCCATGGCTTCAACACCTGTTTCTCACCGTGTATGCTTCAGTATGTCCACATGAGCTTGTACTCCTGTTGGATAATTATCCTCTTAGGAAGATATGCAATTATCAAGGGTGTGTAATATTGAATTTTTAAATAGTATTTATATTTTGTAGTAATGGCATTGAGGAAAACCTGTGAGAATCTGTCAGGCTGAAACAACAGAAATAATGGAGCAGTGGTTTACAGTAAATAATCTTACTCAACCAACTACCACTAATTTACAATACAAGATAACCACCATGGTGGAGTGCAAATTTGTGCACCTATGGTTTAAGTACATGTAGGCAACCTAGACTGTGTCTCTCCATTTCATTTCTTTTGTAGGCTATTACAATCGAGCCTTACCTCTAATTTTCCACTTTTTGCAGCTAGTTGCAATGGAGTTAAACCATCTTTATTCTTCATTGTCTCTAAAGTTCTGCTCTTACTTTTCAATAGAATCATATCATACATTCTGATTACAAAGTCATTTTGTGTTTTAAAATCCTCTGCTACAGTGACTAATGCATGCAGTATATTGTTTCCTCGGGCATCTTGTGAGGTAATATCAGTCCTCCTATTGTCCATCAGCAGTTGAACTATCTCTGGTTGATTAGTACATGCAGCTAATGCCAGTGGAGTTTCACCTAAGAAAATACAATGCACAATAACTATTCATTTTCAAATATTATGAGTATCAGAAATGTATTCGAATGATTATTTTGACATTTTGATGAGATTAAAACAGGTTTACAAATTAAGGATAAGGTTGATTACATTACATTGTTTTAGAAACAAACTTAATTTACATGAAATTGTTATTTGAGGAAAAGCTACAATTACACAATAATACACTTTATTGACAATTTCAGTCTTTACAAACAATTACCTTTCAACTATTTCTGAATATTTGTAATTTACTGTACTGTGGAAAATTGCTTTCTATTTACTATGTTGCAATTTGTAATACAATTGCTACTACATGTTACATTTCCCAATATTTGATATGTTATTTCAGCACTTACACTAAATGCCCAATTAAATAAGATAAATATACACACTTTCTTGTCTTTATGTGATATGTATAGATTTATGGAGAAGAATATTTTAGCCTGCACTCTGTTTAGCCACTAGCTGTACTTTGTGTAAGTAATTCATCAAATTCTCTCTTCTCTCATGCAAGTATTCATTCAGGAAGTATGAAGAGTAATTAGTCCTTTAGTATTCTGAATTGCAGTTTTGCTGGAACTGAGGTGTCCCTGTGAGTTTGGATTGTTGGTTTGTTTGTTTTCCAGTTAGGTGGGGTTTCTTAGTTAGTGTGGCAATTGAAATGGGAAAGAACTCCCATTGACTTCGGTGGGCTTTTTTTGGTCTAGTTTTGTATGTACAATAGATGTAGTTTGGGTTATTACCGACCTATCTGCTTATGTTGTGTGCATCACTGTGGAATCTGAGCATCTTATGAGTAATAATGTCAATCTTGCTTTTTTTCCTTCTGAACCTGTAGAAGAAATAACTTGATTAATTGGTAATTTGTTTTGTTTGTGTGTGGGTGAAAGAAACTGGGTGTTTTGGGTACAAGAAACTTATTGAGGTAGAGCAAAGGTTATGAAATTAGTTTTACATTTAGTTCTGAAAATGATAAAGCCCATGGCCATTTTTATATCTTGTGCGAGTTTGAAAGACCTATCTTCTGCATTCCTGAACCACCCCTATTGCCTGATCGTTTCATTGTTCTACCATCCCAACCCAATTTTTCCATGGAGATCACATTTCACTTACCGAAATAAAATCCCTCATGCTTGTGTTTGGGGTTAAAGAACACACCCTGTGAATGGGCATTGACATCTGCTCCTTTTTGTATGAGGGTCTGAGCAATATCGTATTGTCTTCTTTCAATAGCAATATTTAGAGCTGTCTGGCCTGCAACAACATAGACATGAATCTTTAGAGTATAAAGTCCAGTTTTTGTATCTTGTACAGTGCTGAGCTCAGTGATGATGCATAACAAATAGCAATAATAATTAATAGTAATAAACAATCATTTTAATTGTCTTTAGAATGTTTCAATATAAAATATATGTTGTGGCATTAAAATACATGCAAAAATACACTCTAAATGGCTACTGAATGGAAATACCTTTGTATGCTTCTTCTGTGTACTTTGCGTTGATAAGCCTTTCCAAAAAATTATTTTCTTCTCCAAAGGAGAGCAGTATTTTCACTATTTCATTTGTGTTCTGGTTGATGTTCAAAAGGGCTTTCATCAGACAGGTTTTACCAGTATCTGAATCTGTTAATTTTTTCATCAGATAATCTACAAAAGTGAATTTTATGATTGAATTACAGGTGGTTTTATTATATTTTAAGGGGAATAGGAAGAATTCCAACCTCATGTTATTGGGAAACATATGCATATAGACTATTCCCCAAACTACTCTACATCTATTCACGCTATTAATTTAACTTTATATTCCATACATACTTAGTGAAAGGACATATGTATTCATGAACAAACAACCCCACTAGATGGATATATACATTATTGGCATACTACAATTCTGCCAAAACATAACAAACCCTGAAGTCCTTAGTCCTTATTCAGTCAGAACTCTCACTGGCTGAGCTGGGTTGAGAATGCAGAAGTTCCTAACTCCCAGCTCTGTGTTCATTCCTCAAGATCACATGCATCTCAGTTCAGCAAGAAGGGGGAAAAGAAGCTGGCTATATTCAATTAGCTTCTTTTGCAGCATTCAGTCATATCCACCCTGAAAAGGTACAAATATTCATGCTGGTGTGCTGTGCCCTCAGAAATCACCTTCAAGGTTGCTTCAATTGTTTGCCAGTAGGTGGCTTATCGGGGGCCTGACCTGACTACTATATTAATGCTAACCATGATATTCACCAAACACCAGCTTGGGATGCAGAGCTTAGTTGCTCATGTATAAAACCATTACTCAATTTTCTACCACATATATGGTACAAAATGAGGGACTGTGGATTCTCTATACAGCTTACCTTGCACAGTCATGTTTCTACATGCATTTGACCTTTCCTTCACTTCCATAAGCAGACATTGTAATTCTTCTATATTCCCCTCAGATACTGCCCTAAACATATACTTCTTCAGCTTTTTTCGGGCATTGTTCTGGTGATCTCCTTGCAACATGTTTGTACTGAATTAACAAAAACAAACAACCAAAACATCATAATTCTTGGTTAAATTTAGCTAATATCAATGTGTTTAATTTCATTTCCATCATTTCTTTTTTATTTAGAAAAATAAATGTAATTAGGTACCACAGGTTAACAAGTCATCATTACAAAAGAATGTTTGTGTGTTCCTCCAAAAATAGTTACAAATAATTTATTTGGTGAGAAATGGCTAATAAAGCAAATTTTAACTTAATGAAGGATATGCTTAATCTTTTACAAGTGATTTTTTTTTTGTTATTTTCGTGTAATGAGAATAAAATTCAGCCCTTCGCACTCAAAGCTGAAGTAATTTGGCTTTCTGGGGAGCACTCAGAAGGGACAAAGAGTGGAATTCAAATCCTACAACAAAGGGGAGACTACAGGGCAGTGGTGCACTCTTTTCCACAACTGTTGTTCCAGCCGAGAAGGTAGAATATAGGGGCTGTTGCCTCTTTGCAACCCCTATGCAGGGGTGTTGGGCTACTGGATCCATGTAAGTGCAGATCCAATAGCCTCTTCCCTGGCCCTTCTCCAACAACCACCACAGTAATAAGTGAATTCGGAGTCCTCCCTACACCACAACTCCACTTGCACTCATCTTCACTGCACACAAAGTACTTGCTCTGCTGTTGAGATGGTGGAAGGAAATTTCATCAGTTTTCAGAATATTTGCTGAACATTTTATTACAAAACTGATATGGTTTGATGATATTCTATATCAATGAGAAAAGACATTTCCGCTAGCATTGTGACTCTATTCATGCTAATTTCATCTGTGTTCAGTTCTACCATCCTGAATGAGCATATCTCAGACCATGAACTGTTTCCACCAGTATGCACTCCAATGTGGCTGAGATCTGGATGAATCACTTGATGGGTCCTTCTATTTTGCAGATTATGACAAATTTCTGTCACAGAATATTGGATTTATCTGAACATTGTTCCAAGATTGTCCAAGCAATCTCCAAGAATATAGTACCAAATTCAGTACATAAAATCCCTGAAGTCCTGATTAATTTTACTGATTAATCTTGTACCTAGTAATTAAAGTGAGAGGAAACTCATAGGATTTCTTTCAATATCTAGTGCACAAAGTCTATTTTAAAATAATAATAACTTACATTTATATAGTGTCTTTCATCCCGAAGGATCCCAAAGCTCTTTACAAACTACATGTACAGGAATCACTTCACCCACCACTGAAATGCAGCTGCCTGTGGGGTGGAACGTGGCAGCTGTTTAACAGCGCACAACAATGCTATACAACAATTTAGGACAGGAAGTAGTAAGGAATGCCATATCCATTTGCAAGTGCGGTGGGAATTTAAGTAAGCAGGATACATTAGTTAACCAAATTAGAATTTGGCCAACTCTGTGGCTAATACACCTCTACCTCAATATAACGCTACCTGATATAACACAAATTCGGCTATAACGCAGTAAAGCAGTGTTCTGGGGGGGGGCGGGGCTGCGCACTCCGGTGGATCAAAGCAAGTTCAATATAACGTGGTTTCACCTATAACGCAGTAAGATGTTTTGGCTCCCAAGGACAGCATTATAGCGAGGTAGAGGTGTATTTATATTCTGCAAAAAGCAACATGGGAACTTTAGTGACCAAAGTTAGGGTTTCAGGTTTAGACAGCACATCCAACAGCACAAAGGTTCCTAACACCACTCTGGAGGATTAGTGCCACTTACTGAATCACCAACATGCTCTTCTTTCAGCACTCTGGGGTATTCTTGGAGGTTTCCTGTTCCAGTGCTAACTAAGCCTATCCCTACCAAATGAGGTTTTCCAAAATCAGCTCAGAAATTATACGTAGTTATTCTTTAGAAGTTAAATAATATTATGTTGTGGTTGTTCCATCCTCCCATCCATCTCTCTTTCTCTCTCTCTCTCCCTCGGTCTCTTAGGATGGCTGAACTGAAGGGCAAATGCCAGTCACCTGCATCAACTGGGTGGGGGAAATTGATGGGGCTGATGGTGAAAGGGGGACAGTCTCAGTAGCAAGGAAGGGAGGCACTTGCCAAGGGACAATAGGTAGCGCCTCTCATGGGAGTGTCTGGCACCCATTGGCCAGCTGGGGGAGAGGGGTGCTGATTGGACAGCATTCCCCAGCTCCCAGGATTTAGCCCAGTGCAAGGGCCATGTGAAGCCTCTTTCAGCTCCATTCCAGCACCCCACCCTACCCACCTGAACTAGGACTGGGAATCCAGCCTGACAGATGCTATGGGGCTAGCCAATCACCTGTTTAGGGGGTCAGGAAGGAATTTTTTCTCCCATTGGCCAACTGGGACCAATTAAATGACTGATATAGGAGAGTAAGGGTATGGGCGGGTAGTATCCCTCCCTTGTGTTAAAAGTTTAATATAAGTTGTGGCCTGCTGCTTAAATCCATGTCTATGTCTATCCTTATTTTGCTGCTTGTGTCCACATCAATAGCTTCCACCCAAATTAATAGTTTTCTATGTAGATGACATCTTAAAGTAGTTTGCTTTTAAGAAAAGGACTCTAAAATGAAAAGCGTTCAGTTACCAACAAATAGTAGTGGTATTTGAGCACTGGACTTGCTCATTGCTCAGTGTGTGTGGTATTTAGGTGCAGCATTTTCTTCAGTGAACTAGGAATCAGCAATTTTATAGGCTCTGGCTTTCTCTGATCTCAGATATTTAATATGAGGATGCATGATATACACTTTCTAAAGAATTTATTTATTGGTGATAAAGCTCAAAAGTATAAATCAATATCCCCTGAAGTCTTATGGGCTCATTTTTAAACCACGACAAGGAAAAATCAGTAAATCCACTCTGTCATACACTTAATCCATAGAAAACGCACTACAGAAATACATTATGTCTCCACTTACCAATAACTGTCTACGTTTGTGGCATACTCAGTAATATCATCCTGAAGAGATTGTGGGGAATCCATATCTTCCCCATTTCCAGATGCACTGTAGAAAACACAGAAAAGGTTGAGTGCTTAAGTAGGAGGACATCTTGGCAAATTGCGCTAAGACTCATTCGATAATGGGAGGCAATATCAACAAAAGAGCTGAAATTAATTTAATTTGACAATGTGTTTTTTAATACCATCATTTAACTCACGGTGTGTTTTAAAATATAGGCCACAAATGAAAAGACATTCAGGATTTTATCATGTTAACGAGTTTCATATTTGAAACCCTTCTTTGTGTTTTTCCATGTTATTTCACTCAGGCTTCTACTATTGTATTTTTCATTTTCACACTGTTTTTAATCACATCACTCTTGATGCTACATTGTAAAGTTTAGACTCTTCTTTTTTCCAATGTGTTCATTATTAATTTGACATCTTCCACAAGACAAATATTGAAATGGCTACTGTGAGGAGGGTGCACGCGCACACACACACACAAACTGAAATACATAAAGATTTACTATGCAGTATTCTGTGGCGGTTGCTCATTCAGTCCTTACTGCTGACTTTGGTGGAAGATTTGCCTATAAGCAGTTCAAGACCAGGGGCTAAATATGTGTTTGCACAATAAAACAATGGCTGCAATGGAGTTTATATTTAGTAAATACTGTACATCCTTTCCAGATTTTCTCAGTGTTGGGTCTGACTTAAAGGACCACTGGCAATTACTTTTTCATAGGCTGGGTTTCTTTTTAACTTGCTTTTGTAACAAATTGAATGCTGATGGAACATCCCAACCTAAAAACTCAGAAGACTGAAATCTGCTATTTATCTACACAATGGATACATAGACAATAGTGTGAGGCTTCCCACACTACTGTACAAATGTTCCTCTGACCTAACCTAGAGGGACCACCCTTAAAATAAAGATGGTGTTTCGGATTCTATTCCAATTCAGTCTAATCTCTCTGCTGAAAAAAACAAGGAATATAATTATGATGATGATTTATTTATTTATTTATTTTGTTGGTGATTTTGGCTCCAGTCCTATGGGAACTAAAAGGAGCTCGTCAACTAATTCCATATAAACAACCAAATAGTCATTGGAAAAAAAAACAATTGGTCTTTATTAACCTGGCTTTGATTTGATTTATATTTTGTCATCCAGCCTCCCTTTTCATAATTTTAAATTGTCCCATTAACATCTAATACAAATAACCACTGAAAATCTTGAAAATAGTCTTTTCTGCACTCATTTTTCTTATATATGTGTCATAAATGGCTTTTTTTCAATTTCCTGGGCACAAACAGTCATGTCTCTCTTTTGTTTGAAACATTTTTGGCTATCACCAATACAGATGATGGCAGAAACGATCTAATAGGGATTTTTGTTTACTTGTGCTCCCTCTGCTGGTTCTGCAGCAAGTCTCGGGTTACCATAGGTCCGACACAACCACGTAAACAGTGGGGTTTTTCCCCTCTTAATTAGAAAAAAGGTGCTAAAAAGAAAAAATCATTCAGACTTCAGGGGACTATATCAATTTTAAGTCTGGTCAAAGTTTGGGCCTAAACTATTTAGCTGTGGCCCTTTTAAAATCAATGACAGAAGTGTGAAAATTCAGGATTAAGGCAGTCACTGCAAGGAAAATGCTGGCCCACTGAAGTCAATGGGAATTTTGCCCTTGAGGCAACCAAAATGAGAGGCCACTTTTGACCTTTTAGCCTTGTCGTCTATGCAGAACTTTCGAGCAGTTGTATGTTTGCTCATATTTGCAATGTGGTTAATGAATATACCATATATTATACATACCATGGGCGAATATTTGAATCCATGGGTTTTGAAAATACAGGAGGAGATGTCTGTCTTGGAGATGAATTACTTTCAAAGCCTTCAATTTCAAAGAAAAACTGTGAGCTGTTGAATACATTGTGTTGAAAGTTTATTAGTGGAAAAGCAAGTCAAAATGTAACATAAACATAACACAAACAAACTGTGCACATGCCCAGCTAGGACCAGCTTTAGATACAGGTGATATGCTGTGTGGCATCACATCTGATGAGGTGCTGAAATAGTGTTTACCCTTTTTTGGTAATGGAAGATCCCTACCCCTACACATGTTGCCAACCAAACATTTTTAATCCTTTGTGTTGGCAGACAAGGCAAAAGATTCTGAGATGTCTTTGGGAGACAGGGCACCAAATCCAGACATTATCAGTGGCACCACTGCAACCTAGAGACAACTTTGTATCTGGGTTTCGTGAACTCCACAAAATGTTACTGTAACTCCAAAGAATACACACACATAAAATGCACACACATGCACACTCTAATCTGTTCACTGCAGCCTTTGCATTGTCGCCATCATCATTCCATCCAAGAAGAACTGGGTAGGTATCTCGCCTCAACCCACTGACACTGATGAACACTTAATGAACTAGAAAGGTTGAGAGATCACATATTAAATAACACAAGGCCTTTCCACCATCTAGGACTGAAATGTGCTACCTCAGAGTATGAGCTTTAACTATGTTTAGCTAGTGCATTGCAGTTTATAGACAGAGGAGTGGAAAAGATAAATGAAATGCTGAACAACATAGCATAAGGGTTCATGAGGAACTCTGATGACCAGCTTTTTAAAACCATGGAGAGTTGGTAGGGAGAAGCAAATGGTTGGTGTTGCTAGGTGCCATTCAAACAGCTGTCACATTTTACCTATGATGGCTGAATTTAATTGGTGGGCGAAATGACTTCTATATGGGTTATAGTTTGTAAATTGTTTTTCTACATTTCTAAAATGCTTTGAGAGTCACCTTGAAAAATATTCTGGTTCACATAATATGTGACATACTCAGTAGGGTACTAATTATTTCTCCTTTTTTCTAATTCCCCTTGCAAAATATTCAGATGCAGTTGAAGCAAGCACCCTAGTGTCAATTTACAGAATGCTGCTGCTTAGCAACCAGTGGATGTATGTCAAAAATAGTGTGATGTAATATCATCCCTGGTTAACATAGTTTCCCCATCTTTGGAGGAGGAAAGTGTTAATACACTGCATGTGGTATTTTAAACTTAAATGACCTTTTAACATTTTGTATGTGCATGCGAGCGTATTCCCACAACACAAAGATTAAAATACCCATTATATTTAACAGGAATGTGAATCTGAAGTTATATTGAGGATAAGTGTTGTTCATAGCACAGGAGTACCTAGATGGAAACAGGGCCCTATTTTGCCATTACTTACACACCATGGATCAGATTCTCAGCTGGTGTAAATCACCATAACTCCATTGAAATCTGACCTTGGCACAGCGGCTGACAAAGGGTGGAAGAAAGGTGGCTTTATGCCACTCTTCTGTGCCCCCTGTGCTGGGATGTCTTGGGACTGCCCTGACTGGCAACCAACTGTGTATGGCCTCAATGAACCTTGAGGGCAGAAAGGAATGCCCAACTCACATGGCACTCTGGCGCTGTCCATGACACAGTCCCTGCATTGGGTGGGAGGACTGGGAGCTCCTTCAGGGGCTGACTATGTTAGCTCAACACCAGGAGAGAACTGCCCTGTGTTGGGGGAATTCCCCAGGGCAGGATCTGCTGTCTTCACAGCTCCTTTACGTCAATATACCTGGCACAAACGAGCCACAAGGCTGTAATGAATTGGGTCACATGTATCTTGGAGGTTGGTATAACGTGCAGGCCTGAAGCCTTTTCTCTGTTCTATGGGGGAAATGGCATCTCTGGGACATACCATGAGTAAAAAAATGAGTAACTGCCAACAAATACCTATGTGCTTACATATTCAAAACACGCCACAGGAAACACTAGCCATGAAAGCAACCTAGTCATACTCAAACATCATTGCAGCACTCCTCCCAGTCCACATGTAGATCTTCCTGTATTTAATGACGTGCCTCATTGAGTCAAAGAAGGTAGAAATAAATTGTACCTTTTACAATATATGTTGCCAAAATAAAGCATAAGAGAATGAGACATGTTGCTTAGGTGAGAGTGAAATCACCTCTGAGCTTGCCAGTGATGGTATACTCAAGGACTGAAATGTTTAAAAGCATTAGACATATACCAGTACAGAAACATATAATTAAACGGAGTATGTTAATGTTTGTAATTAAAACTCATGTGATCTTTTTTCTTATATAGCAGGAATGTTTGGTGCCACACCCTAGCTTTAACGTAAGATGGGAGAGCCTGCCCATCCTAAGGTTATTAACTACAGATGCCAAAAGCCTGAATCTGGTAAATGAACTTAAGTAACTTATGATTAATGGCCACACATATTTGCTGTAACTTGCCAGTCTTCTGCAAATTTGCTTCTATTTGAAACATTAGGTGTATATATTGTGACCAATTCAGACATCCTTCCTGTTGCCCACATGGCACTACAAACACTTTGATTCAAATTTAGGTTTATGTAGGACTACCCTTGTACTTTGGAAGGCCAATGATGCCAGACGAAGGGGAGGTGGAAAAAGAAAATCAACTGGTGTTATTTCCCCATTTGGATTTAATGACAGAGGGAGAAGTCAGGCCAGCCCATGAGTTTTCAGATTGTGACTGCTGCTTGCATCACTTCTGCGTAAGGTGATCACTCAGATGATTAACAAAATTATCATGGATGCTAAAGCAATATTAAATTCTCTTGGGGCCTAAGGCCTTTCTGATTGGGCTATATTTTATGCTGTACAGTCAACAAAATAAAAGGAAACAGTTGTAGGGTCAAAGTTTACAAGCCAAATTCATCCCTATCTTGCAGTAACTTCAGTGACTTTGGTGGCATTACATCAAAGATGAATACAACCACTTGTATTGTATTTCTCCATTCATAATAGACAAAATATTTAATCAGAATATTAATTAACTGGTATAAAATATGCATAAAAATAAACATGGGTGATATGGGTTATTAAGCGTGAAAAATAGAGTGAATTGAACATTTTACTGACAATCTCCATGTATGAAGGTTTTTCTGGGTATTTCTCACACCATATGCTACATCCCTTACCACTCCCTGTCTCCTTCCGCTTTTGACTTCATACCTTCTTGTATCAATCCGTATGTCCCTATACTTGAGAGAACCTCTCATTTCTTTTCTCCCAACACTGCTCTCTTCTTTAAATGCTTCCTTAAAACCCAGCTTTTCCCTAAATTATCTCATTAGAAACGATCTCTAAACCTTCCCATATTTGAACTGTTGATCTTTGTGAGGCCCCGATCCTGCAAGCTCATACATGTGGGCTGACCCCAGTGCCTGCAGAGAGCGGGCCTCATTGACATGAGGCATGAGCTTCCCAGATAGGGAGCCTGAGACTGTAAGCTCTTCAGAGCAAGCACTATGTCTTTGTCCACATTTCCTAAAGCACTGTATACATTTATAGAGCTATATAAATGCTTATTGTTATTAATATCATAAGTACATCAGTTCCTTTTTCAACATACACTACGTTCATCACAACTCTCTCATTCATACATTACATGTGTGCTGTTAGCAATTATTTCAATCTTAGTATCTGTTGTATAAAGATAATAAAAGGATTTACAAATAGCACCAATCTGCCATTTCTAATAAATTGTCTAAGGCTGGTCTTGTGAAGGTATTGTGTTCTACCTTTTCCTTGTGGGAGTGTTTTCAGATGGCTTTTTCTCCTGGTGGTTTGCAATGGGACCTGATGTATTTGTTCTCTTGCCCATGAGTGGAATATTCTCTTTGTTATCTTTAATCATGTTTCTGTAATAGATAGATTCATAGTTATTTAATTTCATTTGAACACATCACATGATCAGATTGTGTGCATAAGGAGTAGAAATAGTCAAACACAAATCTTAATATTTGTCAAGGTTCTTCCTTTGCAAAAGATGTACTATTTAATATATTGGGGATTGAGATTTCAAATTTGGGGTATCTTTGATTAAAATAGGTTTCAACATGAGCAGCATCAAGGATGACATGACACTACAAGTCCAGGAAAAGTTCAGATTCAGGTATATTCTCAGTTCCTAATTGAAGGGATCCCATCCATTTATATGGCAATAGATATTATTTCAAGTATCAGAAGGAACAGAGTAACTTTTATAAGCAATACTGAGGGGTTTGCAGCCTGCTATTGATGTAAAAGTCTATTTATACTTTAACCTAGATAACTTTAGAAAACCAATACGTTCCAGTAGTCAAGCAATATTAAATCCGTTAGGTCCAAATATAAGAAGGTTGGTGCCAGACACTAAAGGTGCTGAAGTTAGATGAAAGCAGAAATTCTGCAATGTGTTGGATCAGCAGAAGCAAGGTCTGAGTAGACAATACTAACACCAGGGGCAGAGCTCAATGAAAAATTAAGCCTTTTACCTGGACTTCCAGGGACTCCTGAGTTCTGGTGCCACTCCCATAAAACTAGGACAGAGAGAAGAAGAAGAAGAAAAGTTATGACCCTGTAATACATGAATAATGGTCATCACCACATGAAGCATAAGGACTTTGGTGCTTGCATCTGCCCATCAACATTCAGAACATTAATTTCATAATAAGTAATTACTATTTGTCGTCATTGTAATATTCTAGGTTACCACTTATAATCACTAAGGATAATTTCAAATGAAGAAGTTAATTGTAGCATCTTTTAAGATATACTTTTATTATAAATAGAAATAGAGAGTTAAATGATGTGACAGAGTCGTTTCTCCAGGAAAATGGTGAAAGCACCCTCGGTACTCAAGAAGAATATACTGTAGGGGAAATTGACTGTCAGAAGATGGACAAGATGAGCTACAAATAATAGTTATTTTTCATCTCAGATTTCCATGGTTCTGGTGAACCTAAAGAAGATCTCTTCTACCCAACTTTTGGCCTCAACTCTCCCTGACTAGATTGGAGTAGAGGTGGATTTTACATTCTTGGGAGTGCATTCCTTCAGTGTTGTGATTCCTGTAATATGGGAATAACAAAATGAGATTCTAGAGAATGCATGAAAACAAAAGATGGCTGGAGTGATAAACAAGGTGAACATGTGGCATGCATGAATAGATAGGTGAAGAATCAATGTGATAAATATGCATTTGTGTGTGGAAATATTATCATTCAGCATGTATAGGGAGTAGATAAGTTGCAAATGCTAACACTTGTGAATTAACTCTTTTTGCTGTTTCTTTTGTCTTTAGTTGGAGTGTAAAAGAACTCAGAAATGCTCAGTAGTCTGGGTTTAAAACACTCAAACAGAAATAAAATATTATTGTATATTCTGTTTGTGTTATATATGTTTACAGGAAGACTATGTAGTCAAACAAATGCAACTAAAAAAAAACAACACTTGGATAAGTGTCATAAATACAAATCATACCTGCATACAGGGCCGGCTCCAGGCACCAGCTTCTCAAGCAGGTGCTTGGGGCGGCCGTTCCGGACAGGGGCGGCAGTTCCAGGTATTCGGCGGCAATTCGGTGGAGGGTCCGTCACTCCGCCTGGGAGTGAAGGACCTCCCGCCGAATTGCCGCCGCAGATCGCGATTGCGGTCTTTTTTTTTTTTTTTTTTGGTACAAAGGCCCATGGTTCAGAAATCCCTTTCCTAG